CACTTGTGAACTAGCACATTTTGCTTCAGGGTTTCTAAATGAAATTCTGAAATACACATATTAGTGCTGAAAATTTAGCAAGATTACAGTGGTCTTTCCCTGTGCAAAGGCTTTATGGCCTTGTAAAGTAAACTTGGTAGGGGAGACACACTTAATAGTTATGTTAGATATTTTCTGGTTCATCAGGAAAGAAACTGACTGAATAAAGCTGGGGGGAGGGGAGGGTGGAGATGATTAAAATGTTTACAATTTATGTTAGGGCTTTAACATGGGGACTGAAACAAAAGTCGAACACAACCACATAACAAGGTTAAGACTTACATATTCTATTCAGAGGATGAGGCCAAAGTGTGAAGCACTTGCAATCCCACAGTCACAACATGGGTTCTCACCCAAGCCATCACAATGGTGCACCATGAATGGTCATGGGGGGAGTTCCAAACTGAAGAAGACTGGATCTTCACATGGAACTTACGTTAAAAATTTAGGTGCTTGAAAGCAATCTCTGCAATAGCATCACTCTCACTTGCCTGCATTTCTGTTTTCTTGGATGAGAGGGAAATGGTGGAGTTACAAGTAGACTACAGAGAATCATGACTACTGAGAATTACCTATAAATTTATTGTACATGGGCTTCCCTGGTGGCACAGTGGTTAAGAATCTGCCTGACAATGCAGGGACATGGGTTCGAGCCCTGGTCCAGGAAGATCCCAGATGCCGCGGAGCAACTAAGCCCGTGTGCCATAACTACTGAGCCTGTGCTCTAGAGCTTGCGAGCCACAACTACTGAGCCCACGTGCCACAACTACTGAAGCCCGGGAGCCTAGAGCCCATGCTCTGCAACACGGGAAGCCACTGCAATGAGAAGCCCGTGCACCGCAACGAAGAGTAGCCCCTGCTCGCCACAACTAGAGAAAGCCCGCACACAGCAACGAAAGCCCAACACAGCCCAAAATAAAATAAATAAATAAATAAATAAAAATTTGTTGTACATGTGGGAGAAGGCCTTCCAAACAAGGATGCATAAAGAACATTGTGAACCACTAGTCCAGGAGCCTAGGAATGAAATGTCCACTCTCAGCAATTCCCCAACTCTTGAACAACCCCAGAGGCAGGCAGGGAAGGGATTACTCTTTTATCCCTTCAGATGACTGTCTGCTCACATATCCCTACAGGATGAGTTCCTAGAAGGAAGCAAGCCACCCTGAGGACAGCTTGTATAGGTGGCTAGTGACACCATTCCATTGCATTGCACCCCTCCTGAGTCCTCAGATACATGAGATAATTACTTGATTCATCTTAGGGCTGAAATTAGTCTCCTGTTGGGTAGCAACAGCCAGACTTCTCCTCCATAGAACTTCTGACAACAGATTCAGGGTCCTCTGGTCTTCAGGAAAAATGAGGCCTGTCTGAGGACAGGAGAAACTGCAGTCTCAGGGCAAGCTAGGAACCCCTAAGCCAGGACCCAGGAGTCAAAAGAAACCCACAGTCAAACCAAGAAGGCTTGTCTCCAGCTCCCCATCTCACTACTCCTCATGAAATATTCATGTCACGGGAGACCCAGCCCCCTCCCACCTTCAATACTGCCCAGCGGCACTGAGATGAGGTATGAATCCCTGATAACAAACACACCCAAGGAAGAAATTCTTTTTTTTTTTTTTTTTTTGCAGTACGAGGGCCTCTCACTGTTGTGGCCTCTCCCGTTGCGGAGCACAGGCTCCGGACGCGCAGGCTCAGCGGCCATGGCTCACGGGCCCAGCCGCTCCGCGGTATGTGGGATCTTCCCGGACCGGGGCACGAACCCGCGTCCTCTGCATCGGCAGGCGGACTCTCAACCACTGCGCCACCAGGGAAGCCCAAGGAAGAAATTCTTAACACCCACGGGCAGGAGACAAATGGGCGTGAAGCAACCAAAAGGGAGAAAAAAAGCCAGAAGTACAATAAAGAACTCCTGACAGGTTCTGAACTCCTTGTAAGTTAAGAACAAATAAATCCCACAGTTCATTGAGAATCTTGCTCTCCTCATCTTCCCCACTTGAGGGCCACTCTAGAATAGGGAAGATGACCTGGCACTCCGCTGAGCCCTAGACAGCTTCTGTAGAAGGGAGGAGGGTTTCTAGAGCAAGGCCATGCTGCCCAGAGCGTGAACTGTGTTGGCCAACTGAGTGGCCCTCAACTGCTGAGGCTACTGCAGAAACTGGCCAGGAAACAGGAGCGCTATCTTGACAAAACAGGATGCAACAAGACCGACGCTGAAGAAACTATGCCACAGCCCGTGAGGGCAGCGTATGTGACCCATGGCCATGGTTACTGCATGAAGCTGGGGCTGGCCCTTCTTACTGCCAAGAGGAACATCAAAAACATCACACATGATTCTATTAACTTTGTAAAGTGATGAATCAACTTGAAAACTGACAAGCTCCATTCAGCTAGCAAAACACTTCATTTTTAGGCAAGAAAGCAGCTGGATGAACTTTGGTTTGAGTCCACTTTCAGCAATTTAAAAAAGGGGGGAGGGGCTTCCCTGGTGGCACAGAGGTTGGGAGTCCGCCTGCCGATGCAGGGGACGCGGGTTCATGCCCCGGTCTGGGAGGATCCTACATGCCGCGGAGCGGCTGGGCCCATGAGCCATGGCCACTGAGCCTGTGCGTCTGGAGCCTGTGCTCCGCGGTGGGAGAGGCCACAGCAGTGAGAGGCCCGCGTACCGCAAAAAAAAAAAAAAAAAGGGTGGGAGGTAGAAAACGTGTTATGTGATTCTACTATAGGCTTTCTGGTTGGGATATAACAGACTCTCAAAGTCAAATCAGTAGAGTCCTTGCGGAGAGCAGACACAGAGATAAATGACTCTCTGCAGCACTCCATTTGCTCTCTATTGATGGTGGGTCATTACATTAAAGCTTCTATGTATAGTGTCAAAAGGTCACACCTAAGAGGTTTCTGGAGGAGTTAGGGAAGCTGAAGTTCATTGGGGGTGAAATGATTCTCCCAACATACCCTTTCACTAAGACAAAAGCAGCAAGATTTTGCCCAGACTCGGGCCTCAGCCCTTCATTTTATTTACACATTAAAACCAAAGCCTCACTTTTTAAACAGTAAATCTCCCTGGAAATCAGTAAATAAGATTAAATAAGGATATAAGAAATATCCTGCCAGCAACAAAATCAGCTCTGCCCAAGAACATTTCTGAGTATCCCCAGGTGGTAACTAGAAACTCTCTTTTCAAAAAAACCAGCAACCATTTAATTTGTGAGCACCAAGTAACAGTGCCTCAGGTATTGAAAATAGTTGGAGAAAGGAGATACTAGACTTAAAGGTGCTTTCTATATAAGAAAAGCTTCCCCCGTAAAGTGTTGAGACCTATTTTAACCATTTTTTTCACAGAGAAATGTCTCAGATACATTCCACACTATTTAGGCTTATGAAACAGATTTAATGTTATAAAATGACACCCTTCCTAATAGCAGGATATTATGAACACTGCAATAACTGAAGTATGCAAATTACTTGCCTCCCTGAAATAGTACATATAACACTTTTGTGCATATGAGTCTATGTGTTTTACTGGGGAAAGGGCCCTACCTAAACTCTCAAAGGGACCCAAGAAAGGGTCTAAAACCGACTGAACCAAGATGGGAAATAGCCTCTGCCCCAGACCCATTGGTCCCCAGTGCTGTGATGTTCTAGGCAATGTTTTCCTTCTTGCTTCTCATGGTCTTTCTGTTTTCAGCTGTCACTTCTCACCCGCACTACTCACACCATTTTTGTGGTTTCTGTCTCCCTTCTCCCCTCTAGCTGCTTTTCTTCCTCCCTTCTCCCCTCTAGCTGCTTTTCCTCCTCCCTTCTCGCTCACATTTCTGCCAGTGCTCCTTTACTTCTATTGTGAGGATAGATATCACTGGATTTTAAAAAAAGGTGATCTGATCAGCAGACCAGTCACGTGTCTTCTAAATCACAGTACTTGTGGTTGTTTTTATTTTTGCTCAATACTTGAGCCCTTTCCAGTTACCTTTGAGTTTGTGGGGTTTGTAGGTATCTTTGGGTTTGTGAAGATGCCAGATGTCTGACTGCTGGGGACATTATTGGAGCAAGCTTCTTGTAGATTTCAGCAAGCTGAACATGGACTTGAGACAGCAACAAACACTCATTCCCCCGCATCAACCTACGATCTACAGACTACTTTAAGAAACCTGAGGCACTTTGTCTCCTTCCCAGCTTCTATGAGCATCTGAAGTGTCTGCATCCCCAGTCTAAGCTGGGATTTACAAGAAATATTTAGAGCTTGCTCAGCATGGCACTTTCAATCATGTTCTTTAAATGGTATGCTGGTAAATGAGCCGTAAAGAAACAAGAAAATGTCACTGCTTCTCCTTTATTGGTAGATTATAGCACCGTGTCAAATGGAAAGAAGGGAGATGAGGGAGGCAGGGTAATCTCTGACTGCTGGGGAGCCAGACATGCCAGGTGGGACAGAACCACTAAGAACCCTGGTAACTGCCGGGCATTGGGACAAGGATGAAGTTGCAGAGCTGCTTTGTCCCACCACAAAAGACAAGATGCTGGCTCTTGAAATGCCTAACCACACTGCCTTCATTTCTTACCTGTCACGGCAGCTGTCTTATAGTCTGGGGGGAAGGAGTTGGTTAGCTTTTTACATAACTAAAAATAACAGTGCTGTGGAGGGGAGAGATATTCCCAAGAAGAGCTAGAAGTGGCAGACCTCAGACAGTATAAAAATAACTGATTTCAAAAATGTATAAACATAAAGCATGCACAGAAAGGTCAGCTCTCCAAAATTTGAAACAGAGATGAAACGTATAAACATCAGAAAAAGTAGTCACATATATCCAAAAGGCAAGGAATAAGATCAGCAAGTAGTTGAAAAAAATGGCTGAGAAAAGCCATAAACCCCTCAGTTCTCCTGTCTCTGCACCACTGTGATGTGGCTATCCATGGGTATCCACACCTGTGATCCAGAAGGATATGCCTGTCCAATGTCTTACCTCACTGTGGTCGCTGGCTGGGATACGTGAAGGCCTTGCTTCTTCATCGAGTGGCTCAATCACTGTCACCTCTGCAAATTCCTCCACGGATCCTTGAAACTCAGGTAAGGACCTTCGTCCGTAACGCTTCCCACCTCTAACATATTTGGGCTGAGCTTCGAGAGTGCAGTCTGGGCAAGGAGACAAGAGTTGAGGCCACATTACATGACAATCTCAGCCCCTATCTGACACACAGCCTTCGGACACAGCCTCTTATACCAGCCCCAAAATAAACCACCACCGTTTGCCAGTTGTGGTGGACGTGGGCGTATATGAGCCAGTAAGTCAGATGCAGAGCACAGCTTCTAATTTCGAATGATTTATAGCACCCCGAGTATATCTCAGCATACGGTGGGAGAGATGAGGAGCCAGCAGTGAGGGATTTGTTTAAAACTAGGGAATTAAGATCAGGACAAAGCAAGCGGTCATACGTGTTCTTCTGTTTATTAATCTCTGTTTTGCAGACAGAGGGAACAGGAGAGGGAGGGATAATACTACCAGAGACACGTTGGAAAATAATGATAAAAAGAACACCTTATCAGCACTGTAAAGTTAGCATTCACACCAATTAGTCTGGAACACACCCCTCTTAAGGACTCACCTTAGTGAGTCCTTTGTTAACCATCCCACTTTCTGATCCATCAGACAAGCAGGAAGACGGAACAAAGAAACTGACACAGCGGATCCTAATCAATTAATGACAGCTCACTGTTCATATGAAACCTGTCATCAAGATCTCATTATAAAACTAAAAGCTGTGGAATAAAATAGCAAACGCAAAACTGCATTAAGAAAATAATATATTATGTTCTTTTCTCTTCATGAGCTTCGTGTTGTACAAAATAAAAGGAATGTGTATAAGGGGAAAGTCATCTCTTGACCCTGAAGGACTTCAGCATTCAGCAGAACATGTCTCAGGTTCAGCCCTCACCACCACCACCACCACCATCATCACCATCACCACCACCACCACCACCACCA